ATAAAATTAATTAATATTTTAAGATTTAATCTCATATCAGATGAAGGAATATTCAAATTTTCTGATGGGCTTTCCTAACTTAGTTTTTTAAAAATTGCTAACTTAGTGTTTTAGTAATTTATTTAAGTAATAAAATATATTTTTAAATAGATTTATTTTGTTTTATTTAGTACGAATTCAATAAGTGATTTTGGAGTTTCTAGATTGGGGGAATCTTTAGCAAAATGCTCTCAATTAAAAATTATCTCTTTGAAATTACAGTAAAAATTTTTATTTTTACTTTGATTTTTGTTATTATTTTGTATTTTTTAATAATAGATACAATAAAATTACAAATTAAGGAATAATTGATTTATTTAAAGCAATGGCCAAATGTAAAAAATTACTTTCTCTTGATGTAAATTTAAAGTAATTAAAATTTTATTTAAATCAATCAAGTCTTAATAAAATATTTAATTCATAGCTTTAATTAGATTTAAGATGAGGGATTGCGACTTGCTAGCTAACATATTGCTTAGATAAAAAATCTATCATAATTTCAACTCTAATTATAGTAAATAAACTAAATTATAAATATTATAAATAAATTATATGAAAAGATCAAATAAAATAAAAAATTTTGGTGCTTTAGAGCTTGGAAAAGCTGTTTCAATATGGGAAAAAATATAAATTATAAACATAAATTTATAGTAATTTGTTAAAAATATCTACCAAAATTAATTAATCTTTTAGAAGTAATTGCATAGGAGACTCTGGAGTGATTGTATTAAGTGAATAACTATCTAAAAATAGCTAAATTAAACATATTGAATTGAATCTTGGGTAAAATAATAATTTAATTTTTATAAATTAAATATAATCTAATGAATTAATAGGTAAAATCATATTTATTCAAAGGGTATTTAAAAGCTAGGAGAATATTTTTCTAAATGCTAAAAGATGAAATCAATAAATTTATTTCTAGTGTAATTAATAAATTAATTAATTATTTAAATATTTTAACTAGAGTTTAACTAAAATAACTAACAATTTAGATTTAATTATATTGAGTTTCACGAAGCATATAGTCTAGCTTAAAGTTTATCATAATGTCTTCATTTAAATTATGTTACTTTGCATTTATAGTAATTTATAATTAACTTTATTATCTTAAAATAGCCAAATTTTTTAAAAAGATTTTTGAGTACTTAGCTCATTAATATTTTTAATTGTCTAATAAAATATTTTTTAAAAGATGTAATAGGTTAATATAATGCCAAAAATAATATTTCTCAGCATATAGAATGCTAACCAAGCGATTTTAAAATAAATCAATAAGATTAGTGTCTTTATAAATTAAGATATGAACAATTATAATAATAAATTATTTTATCAAAATTTTTTAAATCTTTATTTTTTGTCATTCATATTTTCTTAAATCATTTATATTTATTAAATTATCCATAAATAAATAATTTTGCAAAATAACATTTTTAAAAGATTAAATTGATTGATTAATAAAAGGTAAAAAATATTATCTGTCAGTTTATATAATTTTGATTTAGCAATTCTTTAATAAATTAATAAGATTAATTTCTTTCTAAGTTAAGATATGAACAAATTTTTAAAAATCCTTTTTATGAAAGTTTTTTAGTTTTTAGTCTTTGTCATTTGTAATAGATAAGATCTTATTTTTTAAATTTTCCAAAAAATAAATAAATAACTTCTCAAAAAAATAAATTTGTAAATCTTAAATTCCCAAAATATTTTTCATAATAAGAATTAATTTCATTCCAAAAAAGCAAAAATAACAAAAATATACATTTCAAAATTAATATTGATTTGAGTTTTTGTTTAAATAAAATATACATTTAAAACTTGGTTTTATATAAAGTTAAAAAAATGAAAGCTACAAACTAATCAATTATTAAAAATATTTATTAAATTAATATATTTATTTTAATACTCAATCTAATATTTTTGGAAAATCAACACTCCTCATAATCTTCACTAATTAATTCTTTAGGCCAAAATCCTTGCAAAAGATATTGTTCTCCTTTCTTCAAACATGATGTTTCTATAGTAAACTAGCCAGTTTTTTTAACAATAGGATAATAAGCAGTAATATAAAACTTAAGAGGTTAATCACAAATATTTTCACCATAGTATTGAGTTTCATCTTTTGTTTATTTCTTATGAAATTTCATACATTCTTTATCATTCAAGTTGCCTTATTAGGATTAAGCTATTGTATAAATAGCAGTAGTTCCCAGTAAAAGAGTTATTGTAGTAAATAATATTAAGCTAGAGCTTCTCATATTTTATCTTACTTTTTTTTTCTTTTTATTTAATTAATTATCAAATAATTATTTATTTTCCTTCAAAACAACAATTTTTATATGTATTTTGCAGAATATTATATTAAATAAATAATCCTTATATTACTTAAATTCAATAATCAAATAATTTGAATTGAAATCAGTGCACTTAAGTGATCATCATAGATTTTTCAGTTATTTGAGAAAATTTCTCATAAAATATGGGGAAAATTTTATACACAACTTTAAATATGTTTGAAGCATGCGAAATAAATTTAATAGTTCCTAAAATATATTATAAATGATCAAATTTTTTTATTATAATATGAGCGCTTTCATTGAAATAGCTTACAATTTATTGAATTAATTTTTTATTTATCAATATATGTAATAAACTATATAAAAAGATTACTCTTTTTAGATTTATTTTTTTTTCTTAAATTAATTTAGCCACTTTTCAAAAATAGATTTTTTTTAAATAGATTTGAATTCTATTTTATCAGATTATTTGATTCTCGAATATTTCTAGAAATTTTAACTTCATTTTATCAAATTCAATCATTAAAAGAAAATTAAAAAATATAATTTTATTTTATGATTTTTTTAGTTTATAAATTTTCAGTTAACACAATCATTTTTATTATTTATAAAAATATATATTTTATTTAATTTAAGCTAAAATTATACTTTATTCAAAATTATTCACCTTTTATAAATTATCAGACACTTTAAATTAAGCTTTGAAATGAAATAAGTGTCTTAAGACTTTTTGGTAAACATAATAAGATATATTAATCCATACATCTTTCATTAAGCTAATGATTAATATAAATTATTTAATATCAATCATTAATTTTAAGACATTTAATTAAAAAATAGAGTTTGAAATATCCAAAAAATTATTGGCAGACTTACATTGTATTATTAATATCTATAAAAAATATAAATAGATTAATAAGAAAAATTTTTAGATTTTAATTAATTATAAAATAATAAACGTATTGGTTTTTAAATTATGCTGATTAAATATACTTAACTAAATAATGGAAGATGTATTAATATTTACATAAAAAATAAATATTGAGTAATAAAATTCTTTATGTTAAAAAATTGATTTTAAAAATAGGGTGTAAAAAAATTGATCGCCAGACCTCACTTTTCCTCTTATATCTTATTTAGTGTTTTAGTAATTTTAATTATACAATATATTTCTTAAATAGATTTATTTTGTTTTTTTTAGTACAAATTCAATAAGTGATTTTGGAGTTTCTAGATTAGGAGAATCTTTAGCAAAATGCTCTTAATTAAAAATTATCTCTTTGAAATTACAGTAAAAATTATAATTTTTACTTTGATTTTTGTTATTATTTTGTATTCTTTAATATAGATACAATAAAATTACAAATTCAGGAATAATCGATTTATTCAAAGAAATGACCAAATGTCAAAAATTGCTTTCTCTTGATGTAAATTTAAAGTAATTTAAAATTTTATTTAAATCAATCAAGTCTTAATAAAATATTTAATTCTTAGCATTAATTAGATTTAAGATGAGGGAGTGATAATTGCAAGCCAACATATTGCTTAGATAAAAAGCCTATCGTAATTTCAACTCTAATTATAGTAAATAAAACTAAGTTATAAAAATTCTAAATTAATTATATAAAAAGATCAAACAAAATAAGGCGTTTTAGTACTTTAGAGCTTGGAAAAGCTTTTTCAATATGGCAAAAAATACAAATTTTAAACATAAATTTATAGTAATTTGTTAAAAATATCTACCTAAATTAATTTATCTTTTACAAGTAATTGCATGGGAGACTCTGGAGTGATTGAATTAAGTGAATAATTATCTAAAAATAGCTAAATTAAACATATTGAATTGAATCTTGGCTAAAAAAATGATTGAATTTTTAAAAATTAAAAATAAAATAATGAATTAATAGGTAAAATCATATTTATTCGAAGGGTATTTTAAAGCTATGAGGATGTTTTTCTAAAATTTAAAAGATAAAATAAATTAATTTATTTCTAGTGTAATTAATTAATTATTTACATACTATATATAGATAAATGAGGAATATTAATACAGTTAATTATATTATCAAATTATGAGAAGTTCCAGCAGAAAAATTCGTAAACAAAATGCATAATTAAGTTTCATATACGAAATTAAATAACTATTAAATTTAAAAGCTAAATTATAATTCGAAGATATGTGAATAAAAATTAAATATACATAAACA